GATAGCCATTCTAACTGGGGTGAGGTGGTATCTCATTGTGGTTTTTACCACTGGTATTTTAGTACTTGATTTTTTTATTCATCACAAATCAAAAGTGCTTGTTACTATACTTTTTGATGCCTAAAGTTATACCATCAAACACAGAAAAAAAATTCCTAAACTGATGCTGGCTAATCAGTTAGGTTATTTGAAACCATTTTAAAGTGTTATTTGGAAGTAGAACTAACTTAAATGGTTGCCATTAGCTTTATCATGCTGTTCCAAGCTTTTAATTGTAATCATGATTTCCAAAGACTCTTAACATTCATTATTATTATTATTATTATTATTATTATTATTATTATTATTATTATTATAATAAACAGGCTTGGTTGTATTTCAGCAGAACGATGTGAGCTGAATTTTTAAGTTGTATAAACCATAGCTTAGAAGCCAGCATTGAGGTATTCTTATTTTTTCTATTCTCATAATTCTGCTCCACTGGATAAAAGGACAAGCAGGTTTTCTCTTCATTTAAAAAAATAATAAATGTTGTATTTAAAAACTAGTCATGTAGAGGCTCAACCGTAAATGAAGTATTTTCAGGTATTGCTCAAATGTTATTACCAGATACTATGACTGATTTAAATATTTTTAAAAAGTCAATGTATTTCCCAAAGGCAGTGATAATGAATACTATCTTTGTTCCCAAAACAGATTAGCACTATAGATTTTTTTTTGTTGTTAAATGATTTGGCATATACTAGAAAATTTATTAAATGGACTGTGAAATATCCATTAATATAGATGTGACTGTCAAAGGTTGTTTCTAAGGTCATGATACATCAACTAGTTCTTCCATGTAAAATAACTTTAGTGCAATATAAACTTAAGTAGAAATGTAAAAATGATTTGAATTGCTATCCTTTATATTAAAATGGTTTAAAATGTAAGAATCCCACTTTTTGTGTTTAGAGTACTTTTTATGTTTTATTATAAGCATGACAGAAATGGTAGGGGAACAATTAGTTTTGTCCTCAGAAATAGCAATTTGTAGAATTGATGTGATTTTTTAGACATTATAAAACAAGTTTAAAGTGTTTTCTCTGCTTCAATTTTTATTTTTTTTTGCATAAAAGATTTCTCATCATACCGTGGTAAAAATTAGATGAACTGGTTTCATTTTCAAAGTCTTTATTTTAAAATAAATATGTATCTTTGTATGATTTATAAGTGTACTTGCAAGTAGAAATACATATGTTCCTAAACTATTTTGTACATTTTCATTTCTGAGTTACACTGTAACTAAATATTGTTATCAAATCTCAAGATAATTTAAATGTATAAAATAAGTATCTCAGTTATGTTATCAATAAAAAGGACTGCGAGTATTTTTTTAAATATCTGCATTCTATGTCTTTTATAGAATACAAAGCTTATTGAAAATAAATTTTATTCATATTTTGACAGTATTTCTCTTTTAACTATATTATTGAAGCACAAACATTAAACATAAGCAGTCAGAATGGAAAAATATTTAAAATAACGACTATTTATATCTGATTTATTTCAGATTGATAACCCCAGTGCATCTTGCCAGGTTATCTTCCGTTTGAAGATTGACAGTTTCTGTTTTGATCTCCATTATTACTCTTTTTCTGCCTTTACCTGGTTACAGCCCTCAGATCTATAGAATGGGACAGTCGACTGGTCTAGGGATTGATAAGTGAGATACCACTCTAAGCTCTCAATGGTTGCATGTATGGAGGTAGGAAGGTTAGTGGGTATGTATAATAATATCTTACACCATCCTCCCCCAGGGTACTCAGTATCTATATATTCTGCACCCCTTGTGTGCCAGGTATCATATCAGCATTATGGGGGCCTTATATTGGGAGGTCTGTTAGCTGTACTAACAATCAGATTTGGATGCTCAATAACATCTAACGCTGGGTATTTCTCTAATACAGTATGTACCACACTTTAATAAAATAACTGCCTATTTACCTATGTCCTCCAATTGGTTCTCTCAAGGAGCCATTCATCCCCTATAAGGAGCACAGGGGGTGGCACCATAATTGGTATTCAGTTTTTACTCATGGGAAGAAGGAAGGTTTGGTTCCTGTTTTTGGAGACCTTATAATCTAGTGCGGAGAAATAAAGCATAAATAGTTTATAGAAAGCGATTTAGAAAGAAAATGATTTGGTTTGTTTGACAGAAATGTCTTGTTGCTAATTTCAGCCAGGAAGAATGGCAAATAATAAAACTTATATGAGTAATGCATTGCCTTGCAGAGTTGGGCCAATGATATATGACATACCTGTATATCAACTGTATACTTTACACAGTTTCTCATATCCATTCTTTGAATACCAGACATTGTGTTAGGTACTAGAAATCAATGACTAATAATAAGTCATGTATATTTCCTGAGGACTTACTACGACCCATGTCCTGTTTTGTTTTGTTTTTAAGATTTTTTTATTGGGTGGACCAGCTGAGTGGCGCCTTGGTTAAGAGTTGGCTTGGGATGCCAGCTCTGAGCAGCAGGGCCCCGTTTTGGATCCCACATGAGGGCCAGTGATGCTGCGCCCTCTACAGCTAANTAATTGTGTCATCATATTTCACTAAATACAATTCCGTATCATTTAGGTATCATTTTTCTACTTATGTTTAATTTGCTATGAACTTCCTTATCATGAGCTTTTTTTTTTGTATTTAGATTAAGACCTTAGAATAGATTTCCCAAATATGAAAGTGTATGAATAGCCCAAAAGTGTACATCATGATTTTTAAAATACTAGAATTATAAGAACTTTGTATAAAAAAATGAATGCATATATTGAGGTATTTATTATCCTAGACTGAATTTTTGTTAGTGCTTATTTGTTGTTAGTCATCAAGTATCTTTTTAAATATGTTTTTAAAATTTAGTAGATATCAAAATATCTTGAGTAATGCTTAGGTGATAGGAATGCTTGAATTCTATTTTTGATTTTATTAATGTACAACTTTCATGGGTCTATTATAAAATCATGTAAATGTTGAGCAAGCACCAACTGCATAGTACCTATATGTGCATTGTGAGCCAATATGAACATTTCTTTCAAGGAAGAGTCACACACAACTCTTCCTTGAAGACAAAATTAGACACCGAGTTAACAATGCTTTGTCACTTCTGAATTTTTTGCCTCTATATCATTATTATTGTTATTGTATATAGAAGTTGTCATATTTACTTATAATTATTAATCATGAATTTAATTTTTATTCATGTGAAACTTTGGAAAACTGTTTAATTCTATTCATATATAAGGTGGCATTATACTCACTACTACCTCTATTTGGGGAACTGAACTACATATTAGTGTGTAAAAACCAATGCTATAAATTTTTATAGGTGGTAATTTTGTTGTCTCTAGGTTAGTGATAGACATTAGTTAAATCTTTTACTCTTAGATTAGGCCAAACATCAAGAAACAGGAAATGCATCGTTAGTTCCTTGAGGTAATCGGTTATTATGTAAGAATGGTGACTTTTCACAGCTCTGTTAAGCATCGTGGTGAATTTATATTTTGTTTTTCAGGTGTTTCATTTTTTACTTTTGGTACCTTAAAGAGTGTTGGGCTTTCCCATGCTCCTACCCTTCTTGGCAGACCTTCATCAGACAATCCTAATGTCTTAGTTTTGAAAACTCACATAAACTTACTTTGTGGTGGTGTTGCTGGAGCAATAGCACAGACAATATCGTAAGTTTCTTCATCAACTTAATTCAGTCAAATTACAGTTACCCAATCCTGATTTTCAGCATTGGTTAATCATTTTATTTTTTCTAATAGATTATTAAAACACAGGATCCTTTGCTAAATATAAGTATTAATTTCGTATGTTTTTTTCAGATGTGCCTACACTTTTAGCATATTATCGATATTAATAATTATGGACCAAATTGACTAAATTAGTTTGAACCCACCCAATTTCTGTGGATTCATTTAAAAGAAAGAAAAAAGACAGAAAGCTAGAAAGAAACACTAAGTATAGTCTTTATCCATATTTTTTCATGAATTTGCCTGTATGAAGTTTCTGAAATTTGAGCCATTTATTGTGTTTGTGTGTGTAAGGAGGCACAACTTCTCTTGCAATAAAATCTTGATGGCCTACTTTGTGTCAGACAGTGTACTAAGTATTGAGAAGTTCACTGAAGGAAAAACAAAGTTATTGCCTCAAGAAGCCTATACTCTTATTAAGACAGTAGCAATAAAAGAGTTATATATTAATTTAAATTCTAGTGGAAACATAGATAAAGGTATTACTATATTGTAACTGGAAAGGTGTTTCAAAGAATTTCTCTAGACCAAGTACATGAGATAAAAAGAGGCAGGAATACTAAGAAGCAGGAACTTTTCAGGAACAGAAAGAAGAAAAGCTTTCTGTGACTGAGGAGTATCCTATAAAACAGGAAGACAACAGGAAGTAGTATTGTGTAGACTCAGAACCGAGTATCCAATGAAAAAAGAAAAGTCAAAGTAAGATAGTACTGAAAAATAAGGTGTTCATTGGATTTTACAATTAAGGATTTTTCACCCTTGTGAAAGCAGATTCGGTTTACTGGTGTGTGGGAGTGGGTCATACTGGATTGAAGGTAAAAAAGAAAGTATGTGTGTGGTTTATTTTTGGAAACCTGGCTGTGGAACCTTGTTTATTTGCAGAGACACAATCACCTCTAGCTATTCTGATTCTCTTTGATTTTACTGCTCCTTTTCGTTATTACTTCCAACTTAGATCTTTAAAAATCTGCCTTCTCTTTCCTACTTCTCTTCTGAAACTATATTCTACACCCATTGATTCTTGACAGAGCCAATGGCTCCTTCTCAGATCTTTTACCCTCCTTCCAATTGTTCAAGTTCCTTGGTTTTTGTAACAGTGCCCTCTCTTGGCGATCATGGTTCCTAACCTTCAGTTTTCAGGTACCTTGCTGATTCATGTCCTCCTTTTCCTACCTATGTGTGCCAATTTTTTTGTTTTTAATGTGTGCCAATTTTTTAAGGCCCAGCCAGACTTTAGTCCTTGGCTCTTCCCTTAAATATCTAGAATAGCTCATCTAACTTGATGGTCTCAACAGTCACCTCTGTACAGATAACCAGTTCTATTTAAATCTCTATTATTGACTCACCATTACTTCTCTAGCAAGCTCTTGGTTGTTTCTACTTGGACTTCTGCCATCAGTGCAAACTATAATTCAGATATTACTTTCTTGTCTTCCTCTTCATGACAATCCTCAGCTCTCAACTTTCTTAGCTGTTATTGATAACCAATAATCTTCTAGTCGTGATTATACCTTGAAATCATTTTTCACATTTTACATATCTAAATAGTCACTGTCTTATCATTTTTTACTTCAGAACATTGCCTACAATGCTATTTTCTTTCTTTCTCATTGTGATTTCCCTAGTTCTGATCCTGTACCTTGTCTTCTTACGTTCTCTCCTTTCTACTAATTATTTCCTTCTACCCACATACATCTGTTCCTGCTTGGAAGCTGAATCTTTCAGGTTGAGGTTTTGGTCCATTTATCCCCATAAAGTTTTCTCCTCTCCCCACTCCCCATTAAAAAATAAATCCTGGAGATGCTATTGATGTACATAGGGAGCTTCAACTATCGGTAATGTTATTTCTTGAGCTATTTGGTTGGTACCTGGGTGTTTTTTTATTATACGTATTTCATAGTAAATTTAAATGTATGTAAAGTATATAATTATTTATGACACATATCACTTATGTATATATTGGAGAGCTTTGAATAGGAAAATAGAAAGCAGCTTTCTGACAGTGGATAATGTCTCTAAGACTCAGTTTTCTTATCTTAATGTTGGGATAATAGTACCTACTTCATGCAATTATTTTGAAGATGGAATGACATAATGTGCATAAATTGTTTACACAGGACCTAACAGAAGTAGTCAATATTAGCAAAATAAAAATAACTTTAAAAAGTCATCTGGGATCCCACTTCTAAAAGAGATTACTTTTGTATATTTCATTTCGAGCAATCTTTACATAGAATCTCCACTGTCCTCTAAATGCAGTTATCTGTATTGTTAATTTTAGCCCTTAAGGAAAAATTTTTTGTTTATCTACTGGATATAGAGGGGAACTTGGTGAAAATTCTTGACCGTAGTGGTTCTCAATTGGGTGTGATTTTGTTTCAGTGGACATTTATTAATGTCTGGAGACATTTTTGGTTGCCACCTCAAGGGGTGTGCTACTAGCATCTAGTGGGTAGATGCCAGGGATGCACCTAAACATCCTACAATGCACAGGAGAGCCCTCCACAACTGAGTTATCTAACCCAAAATGTCAATAGTGCCAAATTTGAGAAACCGTATTTTAGGGTTACAACCATGAGAAGCACCCAGTTTGTTTCTTCAGGATGTGGCACTTAATTTAGCCTTAAGTAATAGAGCTTGATATTGTGATGGGAGAGAAAAATCATCTAATAAGAGGGAATCACATAAGCAAGGGCCTGGAGACCTCTGTATTGTTATTTAATTTTATTCATGTGCCTATATCCTGACTCCCAGATTAG